TATTTCAATTAATAATTTAGATAATTTTATTATTTTATAGGTGAACAGTTAGAAATTTCACTTTTATAATTAATTCTGTTAAATAAAAAATTTTGACAGGAAGGTATTTGTAATTTTCCAAATCACAGGGACAATTCGTATTTTAAGCAAATTTCAGGAGATATATTTGTAATTTAATCCTTTTATAATTAGGATAAAATCGATTTAGGATTGGGGGTTTTTGCACCTCGAACTAATGTTTTAAAAATCGAATTGGTGAGACGGTCATTAATCCATCAGCTTGAACCCCAAACTTTTCACTTACCGCATCTTAAGGCGCGACTACATATCACTCAAGTCACAAGAATCTTAACTTATAAACTAAAGTTAAAGGTGACATACCGGTTATACTATTATTCCACTTTCATGTGGATTTTTTTTTTACTGTGATAACTTTTATGGGAAATTAGTTTTGTGAAATTGTTAAATATATGTTTCTTTGAAATAAAATCTCTCCAACGAACAGTTTCCAGCAAGTGGAGGGATCAGATGATGCCCTGGGGTCAAAAGTGTTGCTGGTATTTTCTTCAAGGTCCATGCTTGTTGTTTGCCCCTCGCTATCTAATTGTACCAAGTCTTTATTTATTGGTGAGTCTTGGCTTGGTGTAGCATGGTTTGCTTCTTCCTCCCTTACTTTACTCTGGTCTGCCTTGGGGTCTGACTGGGTATCCTGCGCCAGGGGTTACGCTATTCCGGCATCAACTTCCATCCCTAGTTTGGTTGTTTTAGTCAGGTCGACTGGGTAGATATGATGACTTCCTGGGGTGAATTCTGCAACAAAGTCTGCCAAAGCTTGGGCCTTTATTGCGGCTCTGGGTTGAAACTTGATGTCGAATTGTCCCAACTCTACTACCCACTTCAAGATTCGCCCAGAAAAGTTTGCCCTCTCAAATAAATCTTTTAATAGAAAAGCTGTGAAGACGATTATGATGTGGGCGTGAAAGTAATGCAGCAACTTCCTTGAGGCCATCATCAAGGCTAAGGCCAGTTTTTCCAGTGGTAAGTACCTTGTTTCGGCGCCCAATAATGTCTTACTGACATAGAAGATGGGCAGATGTTGGATCCCTTCCGCTCGTACCAACACTGTGCTAATTGCATGCTGTGAAACTGCCAGGTACACAAAGAGTTCTTCTCCAGGGATCGGGGTTACCAGCAATAGTGGAGAAGACATGTATTCTTTCAAACTTTCTAGGGCGCGGTCGCATTCTTCATCCTATTCAAACTTGGCTTTTAATGCTTGAAAAAATGGTCGATATCTGTCTGACGACCGACTTATAAACCGGTTGAGCGCAGCTGCCATGCTGGTGAGATGCTGCACTTCTTTTACTAAGTTGGGCCTCTCTAGATCTTGGATTGCTTTGATCTGAGAGGGGTCTGCTTCTATACCTCGGTTGGTCACCAGGAAGCCTAGGAGTTTGCCAGATCCTACGCCGAACGCACACTTGGATGCATTAAGGCGTAGCTTGTGCTTCTTTAGGATCTGAAACATCTCACCTAGGTCCCTAAGATGGTCATTCCTATCCTTGCTTTTGACCACCATGTCGTCGATGTAGGCTTCTATTGTTCTTCCTAACAATGGTTCGAACATCTTGGTGACCATCCGTTGGAATGTTGCCCCTGCGTTTTTAAGGCCAAATGGCATGACCTTGTAACAATACAGTCCTCTTGGTGTCGTAAAAGATGTGAGCTCCTGGTCTGGCTCATATATAGCGATCTGATGGTAACTTCTGTATGCATCAAGAAAGCTGAGAGGGTTATGTCCCGCCGTCAATTCTACCAGTTTGTCTATCCGTGGTAGAGGAAAGTTGTCCTTTGGGCATGCCTTGTTGACTGTTTTGTAGTCCACGCAGACACACCATTTTCCATTCTTCTTTGGTACCACTACTGTATTAGAGATCCATCTGGGGTAGTGCACCTCTCTGATAGCTCCTGCTTCTGGCAAGTTTTCTACTTCTTCCACCACTATCTCGGCATGGTGGAGTGCCGATCTGCGAGTGCGCTGTATAATTGGTCTGGCAATTGGGTGGACATTCAATTGGTGACAGATGAATCTTTGGTCAATGCCAGGCATGTCGTACGGCATCCAGGCAAACACTTCGATGTTAGAGGTCAAGAATTCCATGACCTTTATTCTCTCAGTGCTAAACATAGATGAGCCAAGCAAAAAGAACTTATCCGGGTTCTTTTCATCTATTCTTACCTGTAACAAGCGGCTTTGCCCACTTCCGCGAACAATTCATTGCTCGTAGGCTCTTCTACTATCTGTACATATCCCTTGGTAGGGCGGCTGCCATTTACTATGACGAAGCATTGCATAGACATAATTTGGTCTCCAAAGACCTCTTCAATTGCCTCAGCTTCGTTAGGGAATCGCATTACTTGATGGTAGGTTGATGCTACCGCTCTCATGGCATGCAGTCATGTCCTTCCCAAGATTATATTGTAAGTGGAGGGCACTTTCAATACCCAGAATTCCACTTGTTTAGTCATGCTTCCTGCTCTGACTGGGAGGATTATCTTGCCGACTGGCCACTCTGGCATTGAATTGAACTCGGTCAGGGGAGATACGGTAGGTGCGAAGTCTTTATCCTTCAGTTTCAGTTGTTTGAAGGTTTCATAATACATTATCTCGCAAGAGCTTCCTTGGTCGATCAAAATCCGTTTGATGTCGTAATCCATGACGCAGAGTGTGATGACCAATGCATCATTGTGGGGGCAATATATCCTTGCCAAGTCTTTGCCTGAGAAGGATATGACGTTTGTAGCTTCTGTTCTCTCCTTTTTTATGGGGGGTTGCGCACTTAATACCTCCCTAAAGTGCTCAGCTTTCTTGATCGTTCCCCTGAGTTCACATACCCACTCAGGTTTGAATACCCCATATATTACGTTAATCACGCCTTGAGGTGGGGCGTCGATCAGCATTCCGTCTGGATTGTTGTGGTTCTGGGGGGCTGGTTGCGTCCCTCCTTCTATGTACTTGTCCAGATGACCGGCTACTACTAACTCCTCCAGATATTGCCTTAATGGCGCGCAATTTTCAGTGCGGTGTCCCTTTTTCCTTATGGAAGGTGCACTGGGATCTTTCGTCATAGTCCTTCTGTGCTTCTCCTAGCTTAACTGGCCATCTGACGAAAGGTTCATCACGTATCTCACTGAGAATTCGGTAGATTGGTTTCTTGAATACCGTGGTAATGGCAGTGCGAACTCTCAACCATCTTTTATCTCGGTCCTCTTCGTTATCTCACCTGCCTCGTCCATTCTTGCTTGGAAGTTCTGCCGTGTTGACTTTTGCCATAGTCTTTTTATCTGGCATTGCTGTCGCACCAGATTTTCATCTTCCATCACCCGAATATGTTGGTGAACTCTCTCCATCAAGGCTTCCATTGTGAGGGGCGGCGTCATAGTAATTGAATCCCTCAACCTGTTTCCGACTGGAAGTCCTCTTTTGTATTGTGTGATGGCGAGATTGGTGGGGTAGTCCCCTATCTGGTTGAACGTCTCCCAGTAGCGACTGTTGTAGGATCTCAATGTTTCCTTGTCGCCCATGTCAATGGTGAGTAACTGATTGATCTCCACTGGGGTCTTGGTGTTCATTCTGAACCTTGTCATGAACACCTCTGCCAATTGTGCCTAGGAGGCTATGCTGCCTTCTGGTAGCCTTTCGAACCAGGTTAAACCTAGGTCGCCAAGGCTTGATGGGAATAGGATGCACATCAGAGTCTCGTTTCGCCGATATACTGCCATGACCTGGCGAAAGTGGCTCAAGTAGGAGTAGGGGTCTGTCTTCCCCTCGTACGTGGTAAATTTGGGCTGAAGAAAGCCGAAAGGTAGGGGCGCGTTCTCAATTTCTGGAACGAACGGCGAGGTCTGCAGTCTTGCTAAGGCTTTGTTTGTCGGTTCGTAAGCAGGGCGCACTATTGGCATTCGTACCTCGACGCTTCCATGCGTCCGAGGCGCCAACCGCTGAAGGGCTGAGACTCTGCGCAGGTCGCATGCCCTGGTATCCTCTTTCCATCGTGCCTTTTCTTCTAGCACAGTTCATAAGTCAGATGATCTAGGCAACTCCGCCTGCCTGGATGATGTCTGGTGCGTGCGCGAGGGCCGATAGGTGCTTCCCTCAGTGTATGACCTCTCAGTTCTCGTTCTCTTAGACCTGGAGTAATGAGTTATGGAAGTCCTAGATTGAGTATCGCCTGTTCTGAGGCTTTTACTCTCTGCTTGTGACGGTGTGGTATGCCTACTACGATCCTCCAAGTGGCAAGAGGTCATGTTGCATTTGCGCCCCTCTCCTGTCGCCACCCTTTTTCCCTTGATCTGGCGCTTCATGGCCTCCATGTCCGCCGCCATCTTCCTTATTAGTTCATCCTGCTCTTTTACGCGATCCTCCAGAGCTTGAGGATCGATTCTTCGCCTCTGTCTTTCACGACTTTGTGAGCGAGAGCGACGAGGGCTATTGTTCCGCCTCCCCCTTGCATCCCTCCAGGAGTTTTGTCGTTGGGGCTCTAAGTCCGCTATGGGAGGGACAGGAGGCAAACCTTCGCGCCTCCCGCCCCCCTCTGAGGTTTGTCCGTCAACGGCAAACTGCGGTAAACCTTCATTATGCACCATTACTTTCAATTTTAGCGAGGAAAACTTGATCAAGAGGTTTTGTTCTTTCTGTGATTCCCAGAGACGGCGCCAATTGTACGGGAAAGAAATAAACCTTCTCATATAATCCTGTTGATCAAGATTGTGCTCCTCTGTACGACGTCGCCTTACTCCCTGAAACACGAACGTGAGCTAGCCGGCGGGTGTGTGCCGAATACCTCTCCGATGCCTAAGTCAGCAAAATAGACAAATAGACAAAAGCTTTGTGTATTCGGGAATCAAAGTTGTGTGTTCGGGAATCAAAATTGTGTTACCTCTCCATAGGTGATGTTGTGAGCTTTTATAAGTTCCGTGTGGCACAATCAAATGATTTACTAAAACTGGTGGTAGTGAGGAATGCCTACATAATGGCAGTAATGGGTATGAGATGTGCAACAGCTTACCAGCTTCTCAAATGTTTCTTTAATCACAGTTTCAAATGCTTCAAATGAAGTTGGGACAACAGCTCCAGCATCGTGAAGTGCTTGATTCTTGGCTTGTGCAGACTCCATCTCACCACCACTTTTGGCTCCCTAATTTAAGCAACGTTGAGCAAAATTAGAAAATAACACCAAAAATAAAATAAAATAAATAAACAAAAATTATATCCAAGGAAATTTAGCAGTAGCTCACCGCATGACCAAATTGTACTTCTGACTTGAAGAGACGTGCACAAGTTCCACTGACCCAAGCAACCACAGGTTTACTGATTTTCCCCTGTTTCAGGACTTCCTTTGTACATATAAACATGTATGTACAACAAATAAAGAATGAGATCGAGACCTTGACTGTAAAATAAAATTTGTCAATCTATTCATATATATGTATGTATGTATTTTGTGTTCAATTTTAACATCTACAATGCACATTATGATCTTCAATCGATCAATAGATCTTCAATCGAAACCTACCATACTTGAATCGAATCAATAGATCTTCAATCTGATCTAAGAATGATAAAGTAGATGAAACCTAGCATACTTGAATCGAATGATTCCATTAGTAAGAAGATAGAGATGAGACTGATCAACACTTACTATGAAGAAAGAGCTGCGAACGCGACACGAACTAGAGAAGAGGCTTGAATCGATCTATGAATACTTGAATCGATCTGCAAATACGAAGGGGTTCAGGTACGGTTCTACAAATATGAAGGGTTGTCTCTGAAACGAAGGGGTTTGAAGCTAGAGACAGTGAAATCAAGGGTTTAGAGAAAGGAGAGCAAGACTGAGAGTGAATAATACTTGAATCGATCTACGAGTAGATGAATCGATCTGCAAATACAAAGGGGTTCAGCTGCGGTTCTACAAATACGGAGTTTGAAGAGAAGAGAGAGAGTGAAATCAAGGTTTCAGAAAGAGGGAGACTGAGAGAACACGCTACTTTATGTTCATATGTTAAAAAAATAAAAAATAAAAAAACACATTCGAAGGCGTTTTCAAAACGACTTTGAAATTAAAACGGTGTCGTATTGTTAAACAGAAAAATGCGACGTTTATCAAAACGCCGTTAAATGTTAAAAATAGAGGCATTTTTTTAAACGCCGTTAAATAAACGCCGTTAAATCATATATTTCCTGTAGTGGTTGCTAGATTCCTCATCAACGAACAAAGACAATGAGAGTTTTGATTGGGGGTGGGTGCTTTCAGTTCTTATTATGTTATGGTTTGGTGGGTGGATTCGATTCTAATTATGAGGTGTGTATCCCAATTAAAGACTTGTCCTTCAAAGTCATTTCATTTGCAATTATTATTGTAATAAAAAAAATTTAATTAACAAGTGGGGGATTCTTGAGTTATAAAGTGGGGGCCATTAAGAGTTTTTTAATATAATTTATCTTTTTATTTTTATTTTTTTTATAGTTAAGGTAAAATCTATTTGAGATTGGGGGGTTTTTGCACCTCAAACCAATGTTTTAAAGATCGGATTGGTGAGTAAACCGAAAAATGGATTGAGTGGATGATTGCGGGTTCAACTGTCGGTTTGAACCAAAATCGAACTTGACATCATAATTGTTTTATAAATATATTAAAAATTACTTAATAATAATATAAAAATTAAGATGCATTCATTTAAATTATTTTTATTTTTTTAAGATACATATAATTTCATAAATATATTTATATTTATTTTTGAAATATATTAATTATATAATGTTTGAAAGAAAATGTTATAATAATATATACTTAGCAAATTTAAACTAAAGTGATTTTTTTTCCCCCCTTTTGTCAAAGATAGAGTGGTAGTATGTTAGTAAGTTAAGTTACAAGCTGGCACTGATCCATCAGTTCGAATGCCAAATCTTTTACTCACCGCACCTTAAGGCGCGATCACATACCATTCAGTCACAAGGGTCTTGACTTATAAACTAAAGTTAAAGGTGACATTGGTTATACTATTATTCCACTTTCATGTGGATTTTTTTTTACTGTGATACTTTTATGGGAAATTAGTTTTGTAAAATTGTTAAATATATGTTTCTTTGAAATAAAATATAATGAATACCTTAAATAATATATTTTTTTTACGATATATAAGCAAGGAGATTCGGTGGCTCAATGGCAATAAGTTACTTTTTCAACTAAAATATGCACGTGCAATCCGGCCAATTTTCTTCAACAGGTGTTCGCTCGTCCAGTTTACCTTCTTTTCCCTGGACCGAGCCAATGGTTTTGGTTAGGCAGGCATAAATGGTTTGGACTTATTGATAGGTTTTTTTTGGACCTTACAAGTTACAAATCAACCAAAATGAACCGAAAGCCTAAACAATTTGAGCTTTATTTCTGAGCCTATTTCTAAGCCTTATAAATAAAGAATACTCTTATGCTGTGTTTGGTTGGAGGATTTGGGGAGGAATTTGCAAAGGGAAAGGGAAAAGGTGTGTAAAACTATGTGAAATTTAGGTATATTTTATTCTCATTTCACCTACTTTTTCTATTTTCCTTTCCAAATCTCTCCTCAAATCTTCCAACCAAACACAGCATTAGGCGTGCATTGCAGACATATGTATGCACTTTTACAAACAAACCAAAAAAAATCATTATAAATAAAAACCAAAATAAATGAAAATTTGAGCCTATTTGGACCTGTTTGTGAGACTTATAAACAAAACAAAACAAAACTTGTAGCAGCTAAATATTAAACCAACACAAATAAACCAATACGAAAAAAAAAAAGCATCAAACCAATACACAAAAAAAAAAAAAAAAAAAAAAAATTTAAAATCATTATAAATAAAAACCAAAATAAATGAAAATTTGAGTCTATTTGGACCTATTTGTGAGCCTTATAAACAAAACAAAACAAAACAAAACCAAACCAATACAAAGTTTCAAGGGAAATTGTCCCACACACTAGCATCAACGTGTTACAACGAAAAGTGCTAGAAAGTTGTTTGAATTCTTCTTCATTGTGAGAAGAGTTATTATTTGATATATTTTTTTTAAGTAAAGCAACCTTTCAATATTGTTAAGGGTTTGAATATTCATATTCATCAGGATTTGGAGTTCTAAAATATTTGATAAATATTATTATGTTTTTGTTAGGTTTATAAATTTGTGACAATCTTCTCAGAAAGTCATTTGTGAACAAAAAAATTTATACAAAAAAATATATCTAAAATGATGTGTTAATAACATTTAAAATGAAGACAAGCCGAGTAAAAAGAATTCCATGACCTCTATCCTCTTAGTGCTGGATAATTACGAGCCGAGTAAAAAGAATTTTTTCGGGTTCTTTTCATCTATTCTTACCTGTACTAAGTCTTCCACTGCCTTCTGTTCAGCGGCTTTGCCCACTTCTGCGAACAATTCATTGCTCTCAGGCTCTTCCACTATCTGTACATATCCCTTGGCAGCGCGGCTGCTATTTACTGTGACGAAGCATTGCTTGGACATAATTTGGTCTGCAAAGACCTCTTCAATTACCCCGGTTTCGTTGGGGAATCGCATTACTTGATGGTAGGTTGATGCTACCGCTCTCATGGCATGCAGCCATGTCCTTCCCAAGATTATGTTGTAAGTAGAGGGCACTTTCACTACCCAGAATTCCACTTGTTTAGTCATGCTTCCTGTTCTGACTGGGAGGATTATCTTGCCAACTGGCCACTCTGGCGTTGAGTTGAACCCGATCAGGGGAGATACGGCAGGTGTCAAGTCTTTGTCCTTCAGTTTCAGTTGTTTAAAGGTTTCGTAATATACTATCTCACACGAGCTTCCTTGGTTGATCAAAATTCGTTTGATGTCGTAATCCATGACGCGGAGTGTGACGACCAGTGCATCATTGTGAGAGCAATATATCCTTGCCAAGTCTTTGTCTGAGAAGGATATGACGTTCGTGACTTCTGTTCTCTCCTTTTTGATGGTAGGTTGCGCACTTAATACCTTCCTTAAGTGCTCAGCCTTCTTGATCGTTCCCTTGAGCTCACATACCCGCTCGGGTTCGAATACCCCATGTATCACGTTAATCACGCCTTAAGGTGGGGCGTCGATCGGCATTTTCCGTCTGGGTTGTTGTGGTTCTGGGAGGCTGGCTGCGTCCCTCCTTCTATGTACCGGTCTAGGTGACCAGCTGCCACTAACTCCTCCAGATACTGTCTCAACAGCGTGCAGTTTTCGGTGCAGTGCCCCTTTTCCTTATGGAAGGTGCACCGGGATCTTTCGTCATAGTCCTTTTGTGCTTCTCCCAGCTTAGCTAACCATCTGACGAAAGGTTCATCACGTATCTCACTGAGAATTTGGTAGATTGGTTTCTTGAATACCGTGGTAATGGCAGTGCGGACTCTCAACTATCTTTTATCTTGGTCCTCTCCGTTGTCTCGGCTGCCTCGCCCGTTCTTGATTGGACGTTCTACCGTGTTGACTTTTGCCGTAGTCTTCTTATCTGGCGCTACTGTTACACCAGATTTTGCCTTAGTACGGGTGCCATCCTCCTCCACCCGAATATGTTGGTGCACTCTCTCCATCAAGGCTTCCATCGTGAGGGGTGGTGTCATAGTAATTGAATCCCTCAACCTGTTTCCGATTGGAAGTCCTCTTTTGTATTGTGCGATGGCGAGATTGGTGAGGCAATCCCCAATCTGGTTGAAGGTCTCCCAGTAGCGGCTATTGTAGGATCTTAACGTCTCCTTGTCGCCCATGTCGATGGAGAGTAGCTGATCGATCTCCACCGGGGTTTTGGTGTTCGTTCTGAACCTTGTTACGAACGCCTTCACCAATTGCGCCTAGGAGGCTATGCTGCCTTCTGGAAGCTTTTCGAACCAAGTCAAGCCTAGGTCGCCAAGGCTGGATGGGAAGAGGATGCACATCAAAGCCCCGTTTCACCAATATACCACCATAACCTGGCGGGAGTGGCTTAGGTACATGTAGGGGTCTGTCTTCCCCTCGTAAGTCGTAAATTTAGGCTGGATGAAGCCTGAAGGTAATGGTGCGTTCTCAATCGCCGGAACGAACGGCGAGCTAGTCTGCAGTCTTGTAAGACTTTCGCTCTGTTCGTTCATGAAGCAGGGTCAGGCAACTATTGGCAATTCCTACCTTGATCGCTTCCATGCGTCCGAGGAGCCAACCGCTGAGGGGCGTGAGACTTCTGCATTGGGTCGCGCCCCCTGGTATCCTCTTTCGCATCGTGCCCTTCTTTGTAGCACAGTTGTAAGTCGGACAATCTAAGCAACTCGGTCTGCCTGGATGATGTCGTGTGCGTGGATAAACGAGTCCTGGAAGTCCTAGAATTAGTATCGGCCTATTCTGAGGTCTTCTACTCTTTGGCTTTGATCGGTACAGGTGTTGGTATTG